CGTGCGCGCGGTCGGCCGCCGGGACCCCCGGAAAGCCGGCCCTTTTGGGGACGCCGGGCGACTTCCGGAGCCCGCTGGGGCGGGGACGCTGAGGGGCCCCTCTAGCGCGGCCTCGCCTGCCGCTGAGCTTGCCGGGGGCCGGAGCACGGCTGGTGGGAGGGGCGCAGACCCGCGTGCGGATGACCTTGGGTCCCAGGGGCTTCATCCTCCCCCGCACGGGATGGGAGGCTTGTTTCCTAGTGAGGCGTGGGAGGGTAGCCCGGGCCGCGAGAGTCCTGCTGCCAGCCAGCGGCCGCCGGGAGAGGCCGGAGGGCAGGGGAGCCATTCCAGGAGGGCTCCGGGTGCACCCCCAGACCGCGGAGGGGGTGGCTCCCCCGGAGGTGGGGCAGGGCGAACACAGGTCCCCCGTGGCCGACCACGGCTGTCCTGGGTGAAGTGGGAGAGGGGCGGCCCAGGCCAGGGGGCTTCGGTGTGGCGGTTTGGGAGGAAGGGGCGGGAAGCCCTCCACCCCGCGTACCGCAGGCGGCGGCGGGCCGGGTTCCCCCGCAACAGACCTCTTCCACTCGCGTCTCACCTGCTCCTCCACACGCCGCGCTGCCGCTGTCACCCGGTTCTAATGCCCGGTCACTGGCCCCCACCCATCAGTCCCCAGGGGTGGTCCATCTCCATCTGGCCCGGCTTTTCTTGGCCTCCTTATGGTGACCCCAGCCTGCCACTGCCATAGGGGCTCCCAAACCTTGTCTTCACTGACACCTGCCCACTCAAGTTTCTGTCCTGGGGTCCTGCTTTCTGCCCCTCCTGCCTCCCCGGGGTCTCACCGCAGCCAACCTGGGTGTCCCCAGCCTAAGAGGTCTTCACCACCCTCCGCTCCAAGCCCCATGGCCTGGCTTCACTCCCCCCTACATTCTCGCCTTCCCTTGCCCCTCTGACTCTCCTGGCAGAACCCCACCTGGCCCTGTACCCCGCAGCCTCTGCCCTCATGCACCCCCCCCCACTCACGCATTCACTCAACACGTTCTTCACACCCGGAGGCCCAGCGGGTCCCCCCATGTCTGCTCCCTGTCCTGTGTCCCCATTGTAGTGAATGTTCCCACCATCCATGGGGACATTCCATCCGGAATTCCCAAGGGGCCTGTCCTGGTGGCCTCCCCCCCGACCGTACACTCAGGTATTAGTCCTGCTCACTTTGCTGCCCAAACCTGCCTGGATGCCCCCGGGGAGGCTTTCAGGGTCTGCTCACCAGGCCAGGGAGCCTGCCACCCTTGAGAGCCACACAGTGGTGACACACACAGGGAGGGAGCTCAGGGGATAAGACCTAGCTTGGCACTGCAGACATTTCCTGCCAGGCTTCCCATTTGGCAGCACGTACTCCTTCCCGGAAACTTTATGGAAGCACCATGGCCTTGCCCTCGGGGGGCTTCCTTGGAGGAAGACTGATCATCACAGCCTGAGTGATGTCAGCTAGCCCCAGGACAGTGTGGCCAGGGTGGGAGCCAGTGTCCCCCGCAAGCTGGGCTCCCAGCAGCCACTGCCCCTTCTCCGGTGTGCCCAGGACACAGGGGACACCAGCGCCAGCCTCCCCCCCCCACCGCCCCAGGGTGGGTGGGTGCCAGGAGGTCAGCGTAGGGGGCCACTGCAGAAAGGGAGTGGAGGCCAAGGAGCACCCAGGCTGGGTCCCGGGCCTGTCCAAGTTTCCTGCCCCTCTAGTGCCTGAACTGTCACTCCAGGCTGTCGTCCCCTGCAGCCACAGAACTTGGCGAGCAGACCACAGGAGTCGAGGGGGCCAGCCCAGGCTGATCCGGTGGCTCAGAGGGGCCCGCCCTGGGACGAGGGGGCTCTTGATTTATGAGTGCCGCTGAATAGCCCCGTGAAAACGGCCAGTGAGGAGAGGGGGGAGGGGGACGCCGCCGTAGCCATTCCTTGCACCTGGGGCCCAGAGGGAGAAAAAGGGAAAAAAGCAATCAGTGCCTGTGTGCGCACCAGAGGAGGTGACCCACACTTCCTCACCACGCTGGCCTCCAGCACTGGAGAAATCTGGGGAGGACAGTCTCTGTTGACTCCGTTTCCCTCAAACTGCCAGGGGGGCTTCATCACTGTTCCTTCCTGCGTGCTCCTGCCTGCCTGCACTGGAGCCCTCCCTTCCCAATCTTGAGATGCCCTTTGGTTCACACACCCCCCCCGCCCCCCGCCTCCTCTTCCCACCCCTGTGGCCCACGTGCCTCATGGCCTCCTGTGGGGTCTCTAAGGCATGAGCCAGAGCCTATCACTGCCCCAGGGAAAACCAGCAAACTCCTGGCTGTGGCCATGATGCATGGCAGAGAACCCAAGGAAGGAGCAGACCAGGCTGGCCCAGGGGTCCACCAAGGCTGCTTCCTCCTCCGCTGTCCCTGCGGGCATCCCAGCCCCATTTCCTTGGGTCAGAAGTCACGGGATGTGCCATGGTGCATTTGTCCCTCTTACAAACCTTCCTCAGAAGCCCCAGCCACTGCTTTCACTGACCAGATCTGGGACACGTGGCCACCTCCAGCTGCAAGGGAATCTGGAAGGGTATTTTCATCCAGACACACTGAAGCCCAGAACATATTGGGTTCCATTAGAAAAGGGCAGGGTGGCTATTAGGTAGGCACATAGGAGGCTCAGCACTGCTATGTGACTTGGCCTGGTGGCCCTCTCCAACCCCAGGGCCCCTGCAGCGAGCCGTGCTGCCCTTCCCACTGCCCTCCGCCCATGGACTCGGCTCCATCTGATCCCTTGGCTCCAGCCCCACTGTCCCCTCCGTGGCCTGGTGGGCTGCTGCCCCACTGAGACTCCGATATCTCCGAGAGGACTGTCCCGAGCCTAGAGGGGTAAATAACGTAAGGAGCGCTTATCTGCTGAGATGCCACGCAGCTATTAAAAAAACGTGGCCAACTGGAACACACTCATCAGGGAGAGGTCTCTGTTGTGAGTTGAATTGTGTCCCCCAAAAAGATAGGACGGAGTCCTCAGCCCAGGTACAGGGCCTTTGCAGATGTTATTAGTCAAACTGGGGTCATCCTGGAGGAGGCTGGGCCCATCTGCCAGCGACAGTGTCCTGATAAACAGACGAGGAGACAGAGATGCCCCAGACAGAGATGCCCCGGGGGGCGGCCAAGTGGGAATGGAGGGGCAGACTGGAGCAGGATGTCTACCAAGTGAGGGTCGCGGGCCACCGCCAGGTGCTGGGAGAGGCAGGGAAGGATGCTCCCTGGGCAGCCTCAGAAGGAGCACCGCGGCTGCCCCGGGATCCCGGGATCCCGGGATCCCGGCCTCCCGGCCTCAGACCTTCAACAGAATTAACGTCAGTTTGGGCCACCTGGCGTGTGGGATTTTTTATGGCGGCCCAGGGGAACTCCTGCAAGTTCACTGTCAAGTCAGCGCCCGGGTGGGCATGTTCACCTCTGGGAGCTCCACTTAGACCTCCCTCCTCTGGGAGGCTGTTCCTGGCCTCAGCGAGTGTTCCCTCTGTGCCCTGACCACACCTCTCCGTACCCCCGAGAGCTCACAGCACACACCGCCTGGCCTGCCCACGTCGAGGATGAGCAGGGCCCGGGGCCTCTCACTGCTGGGAAACCGCAGACATCTGAGGAGAATTTGCTGAACGGCTGACACTTCATCCAGCACGTTTGTGAGCTTGCGCACCTAGTCCTCCTGCCTATGTCAGCCCCATTTTGCAGATGAGGAAACTGAGGGTCTGGACGGACACTGGAGCGTGCCCTGGTCATGCACCTCGGGCTGCCATCAGGGCCCGAGAGCACAGACCACCAAGCCGGGCCCCTCTGACCCCAGGGAGGGGGTGGGGAATGGATACAAACAAGGCCACACTCTTAAGAAAACAAAGAATGTTTTATTCCTTCAGCGGTTTCTATACAACAATGACACCACGAGAATAGGGTGGGAGTCTTGTCTTCCTTGACCCGAGTCAGCCTCCTGGGAGAGCATATCACATTGCCCAAGAGGCTGAGCCCCGCTCAGGGCAAAGGAGGCCACAGTCATCTCCAACTTGTGCAAAATCATCTGCCTCCCTGTGCAAATACACGGCCACGCTGTACTGTGTCCACGAACAGGCCCTTCCTCCACGGCCTCATGGGAACACCAAGCAGGAGGAGACTCCCTGGGAGAGACATCACTTGCTGGGGCGTGGGGATCCTCCTGTACCGATCTCCTTGATGACTCCTCTGCATGGCTTAGGGAACCCTGGCCAGCGGCCAGAGCCCCACACAGTGACTGACCCATGTCCCCATTTTACACACAGGCAGCCTGAGGACCAGAGGGTGACAAGCCTTCCCCTCCCGCGGCTGGACTTAACCTCTGAGCTCCCCTCCCACTGGCCTGTGCCTGGTCCCCCAGCCCAGGCCCTAGGCTCATATGGAGCTGCCAGCTGGTCCCAAGCCTCTTAGCGGGTCCGTGGGAGTGGCGGCAGCTGGGACATTCCCGGCTGTGCCACATGGAGAAGCTGGGGTGCATCCCAGCAGAGTATTATGTCCTGGGACACCAGGAGGCACCCGGAGCTGCCTCTCCGTCCCTGATACAGAGACCGGACAGGTGGCCGAGAAGTGCCCCCTGCAAGGTGGCCGACTGGAGGTTAGCCGCTGGGTGGCCCATCGGTGAGTCGTCAAAGACCCCACGGCGGTGGCGGCCCGGATCCCGGGAAAGGGCTGGAGCGTCGGCGGGCTTTCCGGAGACCCCAAGTGACAGCGCCAGGCTCGGCGCGGGGGGCGCTACACGCCGTCACCTCGGAGCTCGGCGACTGGACGGTGCGGATAGGAGGCTCCCTATCTCCCGGCCGAGGGCCCCGCGGACGTCAAGCCTGCGGCCAAGGGCCCCCCCAGCCGGTGCGTGGAAGGCAGCCCAGGCCCGCCGGCGTC